CTTTCTTTCTTTCTTTCTTTCTTTCTTTCTTTCTTTCTTTCTTTCTTTCTTTCTTCCTCTCTCTCTCTGTGCCTTCCTTCCTTCCTTTCTAACTCTCTACAGGGCTGGGAGCGCCTGGAAAAGGCAGAGCATGAGCGGGAGCTGGCTCTGCGCAATGAATTGATTCGGCAAGAGAAACTGGAACAGCTGACAGCTCGCTTCGACCGCAAAGCAGCCATGCGAGAAACCTGGCTGAGTGAAAACCAGCGCCTCGTCTCCCAGGTCAGTCCTGAATGGAAAGATCATCTACCTGGCTCTCTTGCAGGTGGAAGCCTCACCTGGATGTTCCCTGAGATTTCCACCGACTGCCAATTCCACTTTGCACCAAGGTGGGCTGATTCCAAGTGGATAGACGTCACCTGTGGCTGCTGTTAACCAGAGTGACAGCTGGGAGCATCTTAATGTCAAGATTTCATTTCTGGTGCTGGGATGGAGATTAAAGTGAATCCTCCCCTTGTTTTATACAAGGATGCTCGGAAGTTGAAAAGTGGAAATTCTCACAAGATATGGGTGGTTCCTTTAAAAAAAATATGGAATTTTTTTTTGGTCAGTTTGGGAAAGCTTCAGAAACTAGTCTCCGATGTCATCAATGTTCTGGTGTCCATAGATGTTTAGCTGCTACCTTCCTGGTCTTACTCTGAAGTATGAGTGCATTGTGTATCTTAAATGCTTCTGTGTATAAAACAAAGAGGATTACCATCATGTTCGTTGAGTCTTGGGGTTCTTTCACATTTGGTGGCCAGGAAGACAAAGACGTTCCACAAAGCACAACAGTATTATTTGTAGCCACGGGGTGTCACTTTATTTGAATGTTTCTTCTCCTACATAGAAGCCCACCAAACACTGCACACTTCCCAACTCTCACTCATCCCTCACGCAGCATCCTGATTATTGATCTCCTTATTCCCCCACAACTGACCATTGATCAAATTGGGTGTGGGACAGACAGACAGAGAGCCAGTGCTTAAGATGCTGGCTTAGAAACCAGGAGATGGTGAGTTCTAGTCCTGCTTTAGGAACGAAATCCAGCTGAGTGACTTTGGGCCAATCACTAAGAGACAATGAGTTCTACTTCCACCTTAGCACATAAACCAACTGAGTCAATCCCCAGGAGGTGGTGAGTTCTAGTTCAGCGTTAGCAAAAAAAGCCCAGCTGAGTGACTTTGGGCCAATCACCAGGTGATTATGAGTTCTAGTTCCACCTTAGCACATAAACCAGTTGGGTGACCTTGGGCCAATCACCAGGAGGTGGGGAGTTCTAGTTCTGCCTTGGCTCATAAACCAGCTGGGTGACTTTGGGCCAAACACCAGGAGATGGTGAGTTCTAGTTGTGCCTTAGACATAAAAGCTGGCTGCATGACACTGGGCCAGTCACTCTGTCTAAGCCCAACCCACCTCACAGGGTTGTTTTTGTGGGGAAAATAGGAGAAAGCTATTAGATATATTTGCTGCCGTGAATTATTTATAACAATAATAAAGGTAGGATAGAAGTAAATACTTTCCTGAAGGATGATGTCCCATGTCTCTGCTCTCCCCCTCCAACCTGCAGGACAACTTTGGCTCAGATATTTCAGCCGTGGAGGCTGCCGTGCGCAAACACGAAGCCATCGAGACGGACATTGTGGCCTACAACGAGCGGGTGACGGCTGTGAATGCCGTGGCCGATGAGTTGGAGGCAGAGGGCTACCACGACATCAAGCGGGTGCTAGCACGTAAGAACAACGTGGTACGACTCTGGGACTACCTCCGCGAACTGGTGGCTGCTCGTCGCGAACGCCTCCAGCTCCACTTTGAGCTGCAGAAAATACTTCAGGACTTGACCTACCTCATGGACTGGTTGGAAGAAATGAAGGTAAGCAGGCCAGAAGGTTGATGGATGATTGTTTAGGGGAAGGGTGGTGGAGAAGAAAGTCTAGAAACAGTCTTTGAGGAGTAGTCATTTCAGTCATTTTAACTTGGGTTACAAAAATTCACCAAAAGTATCAGGAATCTGTTTCCTCCAATTTAATACAGTTCGGGGGTTTACCGATACAGGTTGTCCTCAATTTACAAGCACATCTGAACCCAAAATTTCTGTTGTTAAGCAAGACTTTTGCTAAGCGAGTTTTACGACCTTTCTTGCCACCGTTGCTAAGCAAATCACTTCAGTCGTCAAATTAGAAACATGGTTGTGAAGTGAATCTGGCTTTCCCCCCTTGACTTTGCTTGTCAGTAGGTCACATAAGTGGGATCACATGACCCCAGGACACTGCAAGCGTCGTAAATCTGAGCGAATTGCCAAGTGGCCGAATTTTGACCATGTGACGATGGGATACGGCAACGGTCGTAAGGGTGAAAAATGGTGATAAGTCACTCCCCCCCCTTTGCTGTTGTAACTGTTGAACAGCCATTAAACAAACTGTCATAAATTGAGGACTACTTGTATACAAGAGAGACAGAAATGCTTTGCGTGAACATTGGAAATAGGCTAGAAAGAAGAAGAAAATTGAAGATAGATAGTAGATAGAGAGATGGATGGATGGATGGATGGATGGATGGATGGATGGATGGATGGATGGATGGAGATATAGAGATGATAGAGATAGAGATGATAGAGATAGAGATGATAGAGATAGAGATGATAGATAGTGATAGAGAAGATAGATAGATAGATAGATAGATAGATAGATAGATAGATAGATAGAGCTAGAGATGATAGAGATAGATAGAGAAGATAGATAGATAGAGATGATAGAGATAGAGATGATAGAGATAGAGATAGAGATATATAGATACAGAGGTGTTCTCTCACCCATTGAAGTGTTTTCTTATAGGGTCGCCTCCAATCTCAGGACTTTGGGAAACACTTGCATGGTGTGGATGACCTGCTTCAGATTCATGCTCTGGTGGAAGCCGACATTGCTGTCCAGGCCGAACGGGTAAAAGCCATCAGTACTGCTGCTCAACGTTTTGCCACTCCTGGAGAAGGTGCTGACCCTTAATCATACAATATTAAAATTAAGGAGCATACAGAACCGCGTAGCTTCGGTTGCCAACAAACACATTCGGACAGGGATATCCAACCTTGGCAACGTTAAGACTTGTGGACTTCAACTCCCAGCCACTCCGCAAATCTTAAAAGTGGTCAAGGCTGGACACCCCTATGTATATTAGGAATTCAGCTCTCAATATATTTTCTCACTGCCCCAAGGCTGTTATTCACAGGAATGAGTTTTAAACAAAACTAGATGATCTGGTTTGAGAAGGATGGCTCTCGTTCTCTCTTACTTCTGAACTGTGCTGAGTTTTCACAGAATCACGTAGCTTTATGGATACACTGCCCAGATTCACTTGAGATGAGCAGTGTGAAAAATGGATGAATGGATGGAAAGAGAAGAAAGAAAGGAAAGAAGGGAGGAGGGAAAGGAAAGAAAGAAAGGTGAGGGAGGGAAGAAGGAAGGAAAAAGAAGGAAAGGAAAGGAGGAGAAGGAAAGGAAGGGAAAGGCAGACAGGGAAAGGAAAGGAAGGAAAAGGAGGAGAAGGAAAGGAAAGGAGGAGAGAGGGAAAGGAAAGGCGGAGATGGAAAGGAAAGGAAAAAAATACTGGTGATCCTCGGCTTAATTATTTGTTTGGTGACTGTCCAAAGTTTAGAACAGCACTGGAAAAAAGTAAATTATGACTAGTCCTCATGCTCACCACCATTGCTGCATCGCTATAGTCACTAATCAAGCACTTGGCAACGGGCATATATTTATAACGGCATCCCAGGGTTATACAATTGACATTTGTGACTTTCCCAGCCAGCTTTTTGACAAGCAAAGTCAGTGGGGAAAGCTGGATTCCAGTCAGCCATGGCTGCAACGATTTGCTTAATCAGGGTGAAAAACGGATGCAGCTCACTTACTTACCGCCTTCCTCAGCAGCAGAAATTCTGAGCCCAAATTCCGGTATCTGTAAATAACATTAGTTAACGAGGTAACCCATTTGAAGTCTCGCAAACGAAAACAAGGTTAGCGTGTTGTGTGAATGCTTAGACTTAGACCAGGGGTCCCCAACCACCTCGGGCCAAAGCCCATTAACGAGCCGTGACCTATTCAAAACTGGGCCACACGAGTGGCGGGCAGGCAAGTCAAGTTGTCCCCTCCACCCAAGCAGCCCGGGCACTGCTTTTACTGGTGTTAATAGAAAACTGAGATATTGGAAATTTGGTGGAATTTGACTAATATTTAAAATATTGGCGACCTAACGGGTCAATAAACACATTGTATGAAGAAATGCAATTGATGTTTAAATACATTTTTGGAGAAAGCGATAAAGAATCATAGAGAGACAATAGTACTGTTTAAAGATCAAGAGGTGAATATGGAAGAACCCCAACAAGGGGGGGTATAAATTGGGAAAATAGTAGTATACATATAGATATATGAGAATATTTTATAACTATAATGAGCATATTAAGGTTAGACGTTGGAAGATAAAAACTATGCATGTTTAAATGTATTAGTATTGATAACACGGTGTAAAAAAGGTATTGACCCAGTCGTTGCACCAGAGGTGGGTTGCTCCCAGTTCGGCCCAGATTAGGCGAACCAGTAGTGGCGGTGGCAGAAGTCTTCGCCCACCCACCCGGATGCTTCTGCACATGCGCAGAAGTGTCGCGCACTAGCGAACCGGTAGTAAAAATAATGGAAACCCACCACTGCATTACACTGTCCACAAAATATGTTGGTCGTTAAAGGAAAACTGCAAAGAAAACCTATCCCCAAAACAACAAATAGAAGTTGGGGACTGCTGATTTAAGACTTTTGCTGAGCCCCCAAAGAGTGTCAGCTGAACCTGGCCCTAAGATCAATTTCCCATCCCTGCAGGATACAAACCCTGCGATCCCCATCTTGTCGAAGAGCGAGTGGCAACGCTGAACCGGTGCTATCAGGAACTGGTGGCCTTGGCCGCCCAACGCCGTGCCAAGCTGGAGGAGTCACGCCGCCTCTGGAAGTTCTTCTGGGACATGGGGGAGGAGGAGGCCTGGATCCGCGAACAGAGCCAGATCCTCTCCTCCGATGACTTCGGCAAGGACTTGACGAGCGTGCTGCGCCTCACCAGCAAGCACAACGCTTTCCGGGACGAGATGACGGGCCGGGCTGGGCCGTTGCAGCAGAGCATCGCCGAAGGTCGGCAGCTGGTGTCCGAGGGCCACTTTGGAGCTACCGAGGTGGCCGAGCGGATCCAGGAAATCGAAGAGCAGTGGGATCAGCTGGAGGCTCTGTCAAGTGAGCGGGAACGGCGTCTTCTCCAAGCCTCCAACCTTTATCAGTTCCAGGCCGATGCCAACGACATGGAGGCCTGGTTGCTGGACACTCTCCGCTTGGTCTCCAGCTCGGACATGGGCCACGACGAATACTCGACCCAGAGCCTGGTCAAGAAGCACAAGGACGTGGAGGAAGAGATTCACAACCACCGGCCGGCCCTGGATGCCCTCCACGAGCAGGCCCGCAGCTTGCCCTCCAACTTTGCCCATTCCCCCGAAGTGGACGGGCGCTTGCCAGCCCTGGAGCAGCGCTACGAAGAACTGGTGGAGCTGGCTGAGCACCGCAAACAGGCCCTGCAGGACGCCCTTAACCTTTACAAGATGTTCAGCGAAGCCGACGCTTGCAGCCTTTGGATCAGCGAGCGGGAGTACTGGATCGAAACGATGGACGTGCCGGAGAGGTTGGAAGACCTGGAAGTGGTGCAGCAAAGGTACGTGCTCACCCCCTTTTCCTGAGGTGCCCTTGGCCCTTCTTTTGCTGGCCAAGGACTGCAGTTAACATGGTGGTGGTGGGGGGGAGAAACAGGCTACAAGTGAGGAGTAGAGGGGCAAGAGTGAAGTTTTGGAGGAAATTTGGGGGTGGGGAGGACTTTGCTTTGTTTTTATTTACTTACTTATCCCACCTTTATTACTTTTATGCATAACTCAAGGTGGTGAACATATCTAAAACACCTTTCTCCTCCTTTTCCCCCCACAACAACAATCCTATGAGAATTAGTGGCTGCCCCAGAGTCACCCACCTGGCTTTCATGCCTAAGGCAGGACTAGAAACCATCGTCTCCTAGTGGTTGGCCAGCCAGGTTTTGTGTCTAAGCCAGGCCAAGATGACTGAGAATCTCCGTAGATATCAGTGGATAGATTGACACCTTCTTTGGCACTGGGCTTCTGAATAACACAGGCCCAGTTTAAAAAAGAAAAAGAATCAATAAACCAGAAATTGAAAATAAAACTGGAACGAGATCCCAATCATATTTGGGAGCCCAGGAACCAAATGTCCCTACATGTTGTTCAGCGTGCCAAGGGATTGGTGCCAAACCCTTTAGGGAAGTATTAATTTGCAGATTTTATATTCTGCTCCCTCCTCGCCCTGCAGCAAAGAAAGCAGGTGCCTTTGCTGCTGGCTATTTCCACTGTCTTATTTCTCACCACCATTTAAAAAATTACGAAAAGCCAAATGACATCTGTTATCGGCAGCTGCTCCCAAAGGTGGCCCTTGATTAAGGACCACCTTTGGAGCAGAATTTCCATTCTCCTCTTCAGTGAGCCGCGTCCCATTTTATGACCGTTTTCACCACAATAGTTACGCTTATCTCTGTCACTGTTAAGGGAATTGTGTGGCCGTTCAGTGAATCTAGCTTTCCCCATCAGTAACTGGCTGGGAAAGTCACAAACAGCAATCACATGACCCCAGGGTTCTGCCGTCGTAAATACATGGCGATTGCCCAGCGCCCAAATTTTGATCATGTGGGGGTGATGCAGTGATTCTAAGTCCGAGCACCGCTTGTAAGTCACTTTTTACGATGGTGTTTAACTTCGAGCAGCAATGAATGGTTGTAATTCGAGGACTAAATGCCTGTGAAGATTCTCAATCCTCCAGGTCATGGCAGTCCCAAAGGTCCTTTTTTTCAAAAGGCAACTGGACTTTGTTTTTCCTTGAAGGTGTTTCGCTTCTCCTCCCAGAAGCTTCTTCGCCTCCAACTTCAAGGAAAAACAAAGTCCAGTTACCTTTAAAAAAACAAAACACTTTGGGACAATTTGGGCCAAAGTCTAAAACAACAGACTGAATTTTATTCTATAATCTATAAACAATAATGCCTTGGTAAGGCGTTAGAGTACCGCATCCAGTTTTGGTCACCACACTATAAAAAAGAGGTTGAGACTCTAGAAAGAGTGCAGAGAAGAGCAACCAGGATGATGAGGGGACTGGAGGCTCAAACATATGATGGATGGTTACAGGAACTGGGCTTGGCTAGTCTAGGGAAGAGAAGGACCAGGGGAGACATGATAGCAGCCTTCCAATATTTGAGGGGCTGCCACAGAGAGGAGGGGGGTCCAGCTATTCTCCAAGGCACCTGAAGGCCAGACAAGGAATAAAGGATGGAAACTGATCAAGGAGAGTTTCAACCTGGCAATAAGGAGGAATTTTCTGACAGGGAGAACCATCAACCCATGGAACAGAAGTTGCCTTTGGAAGTTATGGGGGCTTCATCCCTGGAGGCTTCCAAGAAGAGACTGGGCTGCCATCTGTCAGAAATAGTGTAGGGTCTCCTGCTTGGGTGGGTGGGGGGTTGGACTAGATGACCTACAAGGTCCCTTCCAACTCTGTCAATCTGTCATCCCTGCTGTGAGATACAGCTGGAAGGCTGCAGACTTTCCTTCTCACGGTTTTCCTTCTCCTTTGATTCTCGGTGACTCAGGTTTGAGACCCTGGAGCCAGAAATGAATAACCTGGCCTCTCGCATCGCGGCAGTCAACGAGATTGCAAGCCAGCTTTTGGGCGCCGATCACAGAAACAAGGAAAGCATTCAAGCCACCCAAGAACAGCTCAATATTCGGTAAGTGCCCAGAGGTGCAAGAGAAAGGGATGGGAGACCAGACAGAGAGCAGAGCTGTCAGCTTGTGCAGTGGAACGGGAAAAATCAACTCCTGCAGACTTCAAAGGAAGCCAAAAGCTTCTAACGCTTTGCCCCACCTGCTTTAAAACCTTGTCGAGGGTTTTAATTAAAAGAGATGAAGGGGAAGCAGGCATGTTGTAAAGCAAAGCAGTAGCTTTCAGTTATTTTCCAAAAAAGCCAATAAGCTGCCTGTGGGATCCCCGAGGCATTCTCAGAAAATAGAAATTGAGTGAGAAGGCCGAAACTGCCTGTTCTTCTGCCCAGAAAAAAAAAAATGAAAATAAGATATGACTGTAAAAAACACTCTCAAAACTGGGACATTGGTGCTCTGTGAGCTTGGTGATTTTCTTGCAGGCGTTTCATGACCCAACAAGGTAACTTCATCAGTACTAGAAGGGAGAGGGTTTCTCCTCTATACCAGTAACCCCCAACCTTTTTGATGGTAGGGGGGAATGGTTTTGTGTGCCACCTATATCTTGTGAGTTATAGGTGGCGCGCTGGCGCAGTGGTTAGAGAGTACAGGCTACTTCTGCTTATCACTGGCTGCCAGCAGTTTGGCAGATCAAATCTCACCAGGCTCAAGGTTGACTCAGCCTTCCGTCCTTCCGAGGTGGGTAAAATGAGGACCCAGATGCTGGGGGCAAGAGGCTGACTCTGTAAACTGCTTACAGAGGGCTGTAAAAGCACTGTGAAGCGGTATAGAAGTCTAAGTGTTATTGCTATTGTGCGTGGACAGATGAAGCTTCGTGGTGGCACAGTGGTTAGAATGCAGTACTGCAGGATACTTCTGCTGACTGCCAGACGTTGGGCAGTTCGATCCTGACTGGCTCAATGTTGACTCAGCCTTCCAACCTTCTGAGGTCGGTAAAATGAGGACCCAGATTGTTATGGACAATTTGCTGACTCTGTAAACTGCTTAGAGAAGGCTTTAAAGCACTATATTTAAAAGTGGTATATAAGTCTAAGTGCTATTGCTATTGCTTGTACAGACAGGTTCCTAACAATCCACGGCCTGAAGTAGAGAATCCTTCACGGCATTCAAAGGAGACAATAAGAAATACATTTGGAATTTTAAGGCTGTAATACTAGAGGAGAATATTTGTGGCTCAGTGTTTAACTGTGGAGTCCTCGGTGCTCTCTGAGCTTGGTGCTCTCTGAGCTTGGTTGCTTTCTTGCAGACATTTCATTACCTAATTAGGTAACATCATCAGTTCTAGTACAGAGTGTGATTTGCTCTCTGTTTACTCAGGGTTGACTCAGCCTTCCATCCTTCCGAGGTGGGTAAAATGAGGACCCGGATTGTTGTTGGGGGCAATATGCTGACTCTGTAAACCGCTTAGAGAGGGCTGAAAGCCCTATGAAGTGGTATATAAGTCTAACTGCTATTGCTATATACACATCAGTGGCAGTGTTGGTGGGAGTGTTCCCAGTTATATTT